TCCCTGGCCCCTGGGTCTGTTGGTGGAGCAGTAGGTTTCAGCAGGCAAGGCTGCTGAAGGGTGTGGGTCTCACCACTTTGTCTTTGGAAGGGGTCCTCATATTGTGGGAGAATCCTGGGGGGTGGCGGGCTCAGGCCCTGATCCCTAGTGTGATCCCAGATGACCAACTCTGCCGTTCACTTTTAGGCAGAGATAACAGGCTCACTCCACACGTGCCCACGGCTCTGACAGTCTTGGGGCTGGGATGGCTCGAGGGACCCAGGGCTTGGCAACAGAGTGGAGGGAGAGAGGGCAGAGAGATGACAGACCTTATTGAGGATGTGGATGCAAAGTCCCCTCCACTGCATGGGGACACACAGACTTGGTCCCTCTCCCTCCCTTGCTTACACAAACCTTGAGGCAACCCCCTCCCCCTGGGGTCCCTCCCACCCTGTGCTGAGTGGCAGTTTCCTTCTCTGGTGGGCTCTAGGCAGGCTGTGGGCTTGCCCCTAACCACTTCCTGCAGGGCTTCCCTTCTGAGACCTGCTGACCTCTCTGGGCAGCCCAAGCCTTTACCTCGGAGCTTGAAGCAGAGCGAGTGAGGCCCTGGGTGACTCCCTCAATCCCTTAGCCTGCCCGCATCCTCCTCTGTAAAGTGAGGACGATGATGGCACCATCTCCTAGGGCCCCGTGAACTCATCTCTGGAGAGGATTCCACTCGTTGCCTAGCACATAATAGATCTCCAGAAATGATGGCTATTTTAAAGCTCTTAGAAATCACAACTGACAAGATTGTGGGTTTTGTCCCAGGAATACAAAATTTTCCCCTGCTCCCACTATGTCCCTTGATATGGAAGGGACATGGCTTATCACAGTCAACCCTTTCATTTAACAAACAGTGATCATCTACTGTGGACTAGATGCTGTGCTGGGTGATGAGCTTACAGCAGTCAACAAGACTCAGTCCGTGTCCTCAAATAGTTTCCAGCCTCGAGGACACTCACGAGGGGCCCTCAGGCCTGGTCATCTAAGAGGCCACCCCACCTTCCCTTGCTGCTTCCCAGGTCTCTCCACTGCTCTCCTTGGGCTCTGCCTCTCCAGCTTCTTCTCACCCTCCCCCTGTTGGGAATGTCCCTTTCCCCCACAGGACCTGTGGGATGAGCTGGTATGACTCAGGTGGGATGCTGTGCTTGTTTCAGGAGGACCCCAGGGCTTTCCCGGCTCAGCAGATGTTGCCACCATCAACTCCACGGGCATCACCCTCTCCCTGTCCTCAGAGGAGCCAGAGTCCAGCCAGGAATCAGAGGGAAGCCTGCAGAGGACAGGGTCGGGATCTGGAGGACATGTGCTGTCAAGGTGAGTGACAGGAGAAAGAGCCAGACTACAGAAGGAGGTGGAAATGGGGGCTCTGGGAGGGGAGAGACCCCCTGGAGTGGTGGCATGACCCACCTCACTGCTCCTAGTCCTCAGAGGCTCCCTAGACTGTGAACAAGCCTGGCAGCCCTCTCACTCCTTTCCCAGTGTCGTTTAGTCTGATGTACCTGCTCATTCATTCATGAAGCATCCATTGAACGGCCTCTAGCTGCAGACACTGTGCCAGTTCCTGGGGCAAAGCTAGCAGAGCCCCAGCCCTGGGGAAGGGCCCAGGATGGGCTTGCTTCTGCTTCTGCTCTGTGCTTGGATGCTTGAAAGTAACCAGATGTTGAGGAAAGGGAGCCCAGCAGTCACATTTTCCTTCTTTCCTTCAGCTTGGCGCCGGCGCGGGGTGGTGGGGTGGGGGCTGAGTCCTGTCCCTTTGGGACCTCCTTAACTTGCCTCAAAGCCTTGGTGAACCCGGAGCTCTGGCCAGGGCCTTCTCTTCCCTGTGACACACTATGCCTGGTGGCTGCAGGCAGCTCTAGGCCTGAAGAGGCACCAGAGCCAACTCTCCATCCCTAGTGCCATCTGCTCTCCAGAACTTCAGAGCTGCACGCTCAGTTTCTCCTGGACATCTCCATTAGGGGGTCTGATGGGCCCCTCAAACAGAAAGCTCAGCAACTGCTTCCCCCATGTCCCCTTCCCTGCAAACACATCACTGTCGGTCTGCACAGCGCACAAGCCTGAATCCAGGAGTCCTGGATTGCTTCCTCTTCCTTCTCTCCCACCGCAGCCCTCTGCCAGTCATTGCCAGCTCCGGAAACCCCTGCCTCCCACCACTTTTCCTGGCCTGAACTCATGGCTTCTTTGCTATACAACTCTAGTAGCCCCTACCTGCTCTCCGCCTTCACCCTCGCCCCTACGTTTCCTTCTCCACACAATAGTCAAGGGTCGCTTTTTAAAACTTGGATTAAATGGTGTCCTTCTACTACTGAAAACCCTGAATGCAATGGTTTTTCCCTGCACTTGGAGTAGACTTCACACCCCGGCTATGGCTGGTCCTGCTTTGTGGACTTCGCCTTGCCTGCCTGTCTGACCTCATCTTGTCCTGCCTCTTCCCCTTTTCTCATCACCTACACCCAAGCCTCATGGCCTGGCCCCTTTCTGTTCTTAAACATGCAGAGCTCTTCCTGACCCAGGGCTGTGGCACCAGCTATTCCCCGCACCTGGACTACTCACCTCCAGGCGTGGCAGCCCTAGCTGCTTCTTGCCACTCAGCTCTCAGTTTAAAGCTCCTCTTCTCAGAGAGACCTTCCCCACCACTCCATTTTAAAGAAGCGCCTGGTCACCCTCTGCTTCACCCACATTGGACGGGTCTCCTGGTTTTCCTGGTCTGTTGTTCATAAGCTCCTGCGAGTAAGCACCTTGTTTGTCTTGCATACACACACCCCAGGGCCTAGAAGAGGCTGGCACATAGTAGGCCGTTAAGAAATGTTGAATGAATGGGCCATGCACAGTGGCTCATGCCTGTAATCCCAGCACATTGGGAGGATGAGGCAGGTGGACCACTTGAGGTCAGGACTTCGAGACCAACCTCGTCAACATAGTGAAGCCCTGTCTCTACTAAAAATACAAAAAGTAGCCGGGCATGGTGGTGTGCGTCTGCAATCCCAGCTACTCGCGAGGCTGAAGTGGGAGAATAGCTTGGACCTGAGAGGCAGAGGTTGCAGTGAGCCAAGATGGTGCCATTGCATTCCAGCGTGGGCAGCAGAGCAAGACTCTGTCTCAAAAAATAAAAAATATATATACTGAATGAATGATTGGGTGGGCCCTTAGCTGAGTGTTATGGCAGGCGGCTTGCCTGAGCTATTGTCCCCAAAAGCAACCCAAGCAGAGTATCTGGCAGTCTTTCTTTTCTTTTCTTTTTCTTTCCTTTTCTTTCCTTTTCTTTTCTTTTTTCTTTTCTTTTCTTTTCTCTTTTCCTTTTCTCTCTCTCTCTCCCTCCCTCCTTCCTCCCTCCCTCCCTTCCTCCCTCCCTCCCTTCCTTCCTTCCTTTCTCTTTCTTCCTTTTCTCTTTCTTTCTTTTTTTTGGGGGAGTCTCACTGTGTCGCCCAGGTTGAGTGCAGTGGCGTGATCACAGCTCACTGCAGCCTCGACCTCCAGGCTCAAGTGATCCTCCTGCCTCCCTCTCCCAAGTAGCTGGGACCACAGACAGGAGCCACCACATCCGGCTTCCACTTGACCTTTCTTTCTACGCCTGGTTGTCAGTTCCTGGCCCCAAACGTGCCAGAGGCATTGGTGCTGGCCCATCTGCGGCCCTCGAGATGGCCCCAGGGTACAGTTTGCCCTGGCCACCCTCCCGGCCCTCCCCTGCCCCCTCACCTCCACCCTTGTGTTTCAGAGCATCAGCAGGGGCTGACACAGGACCTGGCTCCCCC